GAATGTATCCCACAATATCATTTCGACAGGACAGCTTGTGAAGAAGGGCTGGACAGTGGTTCAGTCTCCCGATGAGATGTACCTCTACCATGCAGAGTCCCAGACCATGATCACAGAGGTGACTTTGTGGGGCGGATGTCCGTGGATGCGTTCGCGACGTCCCACCGCCTCCAAAGCGATCAAGGATCAGCCAGGCAAGAGTATGCCTATGGATGTGGATGTAGGAGGAGCTCCTATGGACGTCTCAGGTCTGAAAGTGAGCGCTGTGAACTTGGATCAGTCTCAGGCGGAGCGCAGGAGACAGCATGTTCTCAAGGGACACTTCCCGTATGATCCTCATTGCCTTGAGTGTCAGCAGGGTCGTGGCGTCTCACGCGCCCCACGCAGGCCTATGCGCGAGAGAGTGCTCGAGATCCAGGTGGACTTCTTCTTTCTAGGTACTCACAAACTTGTTTTGTTTCGCCAAGTGATGACAGGCCTTCTTGGCGTCACCGCTGTGAGCGAGAACATTCGTGTGACCGGGAGCCACATCAGGCAGATCTTGGCCGAATTTTCCCTCGTTGGGGGTCAAGGCCCGCCAATCGACTTCAGGACTGATGCAGCACCAGATGTGACAGCTTTGATCCAACGCAGTGGAATACCAAGAGAGTACACTGTCACCCGTGCTGGTCCCCAGAACCACGACTCGGTCGGCTCTGTTGAGCGCGGCGTGCGAGAAGTGAAGGAGGGAATTGCAACAATCCGACTGGAACTTGCAAAGGAGAACTGTGATCTGCAAGACAGCCTTGCAGGCTGGGAAGCATGTGCCAGGTATGTCGTCGCCATGCACAACCTCCACGGCAAGGTGGAGAACACAGGCAAGACTGGACGCGAGGTACTTCGCGACTCTGTTGAGGCGAGCCGCGTTTCAGCTATGTTCTGTAGCCGTGTGCTGGCAGAAACTCCGGAGAGTGTACCCAGTGTGGGCCGCTTTGTGAGTGCAGGCTACCTTTACCCTGTCAGGGATTCTTTTTCTCATTTTGTTGTCGCCAAGATTGAAGATGATTTGAAATATTTCCAAGCGAAGAGTTTGAAATTTGTCTTTCCCATCACCTACCCCATGGATTTGGTAGGTCGTTTTCTCAGGAGGACCGGTTCTGAACCGCCTCCAGGCCCAATCGAAGACCAATCGCCAGTGGAGATCATCCCTGAGGACTTTGCAAAGTTGCCGGATAGCATTCCACCTCCCCGTCATTGGTTGGACAAGTTTGGCAACACGGATGACTGCACTGCCTGCGCAACTCGCAAAGGTAAGCACTCTGTCAAGTGCTATGAGCGTTATCGCAACTGGTTGAGGCGAGGTGATGAGAAGAAACTGGAAGACAAGAAACCTCCCGTTCCAGCACCAGGTGCAGATGAGGAAGTTCGTGACTTAGTTCCTCAGGAACCTCAGGAACCTCAGGAACTGCCGCCAGTCGTGACCAAGGACGTTGCTGTGATCCCAGGTTTGCCAAAGGGAATGGCTCCTACGAAGGGCTGTCCATCTTGTGATAGCGGCATGGTGGCACCTGGAATTCGCCACAGTGCAAAGTGCAAGAAGAGCCAGGCACAGTTCCTTGAAGCCAGTTCGATGCACGTTGAGAAGGCAACTTCGTACCGTGACCCTCCAAAGGTAGTCGAAGATGAGCTGGCAAACTATGCGGCTGAAATGGACTATGCACCCAGTGACCTTGAGAAGGATCACGACGTCCCCATGGATGAGCCTGAAGACATTGAGATGTCTGGCGACCTCCTTGAAGACTCCGAGATGGTGGACTCAATGTTGGAACTGGACGGGAGTTTCGTGTGCTCCATCCGTTTCGACTGGGTTGGACCTGGTGAATACCAGAGGGTGAACCTGTGCGGCACCCCAGTCAGAGTTTGGAAACCATCAGGTGCTGTCTCCGACACCACCCTTGTGGAGTTGAGTCCTTCAGGTACATTCAAGGCCATGGTCAAGGAGATCGAGGGACTCACCGGCGTTAAGGCCAAGAAGAGCGAACGGCGAGGACAGTGAGGAATATGACCCTCCCCCACGGCCTGGAGCACATCCGAAGAAGTGCCCGGTACAGTAATCTACCTTTATTATCCCTCCGGTATTCCATTGGCCGTCCGACACACATACACACTGTGGGGCATCATGACAAGGACTAACTGGCATAGATGCCTCAGAGATGCTCTACAGCTACCCCCATGCAGGCCTTCTGCAGCTTTGGCTCAATGGTCAGCACTCTTTAGCGCGGACACGCCGGACAATTTAGTCAGCACGCGTGTCGATCTGGCCACCCTGGTCTCCCAACCAGTTGCGGGAACCGGTTCAACTGGACCATGACGGGAATATTGATGTTTCGCAATTTGTTCGTTTCGAGACACAGTTTGAGGATATCGACTATGGAGTACTTAACGTGGTAGTGTCCTTCTGGCATGAAGGGCAACTAGTTCACATGTACCTGTTGCACTATTTCGCGCTCACAGAACGGCATGACAAGAATAGCAGCCTACGAGGGTTGGCAGGATATGTTCGACTTTCCCCCTGCTCTGCTCAAACTGGTTGCGACCTATCAGGAGCGCACCATAAAGCTGTTCCTGCAACAATGCCTAGCCGTCAATGACAAGGGAATCACTGTCTACGGACCCAATAAGGCGCTCCGGCGTCGACTCATCCACCATGTGGTCTATCACGAAAAGCCACTCTTTGATGCTTGGAACGCTCAGGTCCCCAGCCTCTCAAGAGAACCGATTGGCTACCCGCATACCACGGGGCACTGGGCACGCCCAGATGGCGTCAACCCAAGGCAAGCCAACAAATGGGTTCTTAGGGACCAGGCTAGGCTTGCCTTCGGCCACCTGCCTGCTGCTGCTGGACCCCAAGATCCGGGGCAAGGGTACCCAACGCCTTTTGAAGCACCTGCCTACAGGCAGATGGCCAGGGAGCATCACCGAGTAGACACGGCAATGTTTCAACGGGTGCAGGGCATGATTGCCTCCCTGCAAGCATTGGACCCCTTGCTGCCACATGTCCCTGTCGAAATCCAGTCGAGGATGATTGAGCCCGCCAGCGATTTGCATGCGGAACTCAATGGCCTCCTTTTCACGGCCTTCCTATTTGCCAACATACATCCAAGTGCGGATGACTATGACGTGGGGTGAGTGGAGACCTGCAAGCGCCCTCTTGCAGCAATGGGGACCCCAATATGGGGGGTAAGTGCTTTGAACGGTCAAATTGATAGCAAGACTTCCCCTTGCTCCGTACACATGCTGGATAACAAGCCGCCTCTTAGGTGCTGGTAGGGGAATGCAAACCTGGATAGCACGCTTGATTTGATCATTTTCTACACCAAACCCAATTGAATCTGTCTAACGGGTAAGAACGCAAGCTGTTCTCGGAAGCAACACTGGACACTAGCCACATTTTCAGTTCTGCAGCCTCAGGAGTAGGATCCTCTGCTGATAAGGTCGGAGTGTTTCCACAAGGTGTTGCTTTCTATTGCTTTTTCTTGCCTGATCAAAGGAACCATACTGTCTGAAGATGACTTCACCGCAGCTCCTTTGGCTTACAGTCAACGCCGACTCTCTCGGAGCCCCTGCGTGTTTGTGCATGTATTTGCAGTAAACGTGCAGTCCATCCAAGTGGAAGGCACCTAGAGACGCACTCTGCCAGTGGTCCCTGTCTGCCTGTCCTTTGTCCGAGCTAAGGCTGGTACCCAATCCAAGTTGGGGGCTTGCCAATCGTACCCAGTTTTGTGGTATTAGCTGGTCTTCATTGTTTCACCTTTTAGGAAGCAGAGCATCATGCACCATGATCCCTGGGCGATCAGCAGTGAGGACGAATTTGACCTCACAGACTGCTTTGCAGAAGACAGTGCGCCAGCTACGCCCTACATCCAGGCTAGTCCTGGATGGATCACCAAAGCCAAGGCTCGAATGTTTGTCCATGGATGCAAGCAGCCGGTTAATGAGGTGCGTGCGCAAGCCTATAGAGCCCTTCGTGCGCCCAATACAGTTGAGCCGCACTTCGGATTGGACCGGTCTCTAGGGCAAATCTGCATTGACGATGTATGATCGCTGCCGATTGATAGGGATGAAGGATATGAAACCGCCGATCAGGCTGGGCGAGGCCCCAACTACCCAGCCATCATCCAGTGTCTCCTACAATTTCAGGCTCGCATCCAATGCAAGGACATGATTTATTTAATAGTGGACAACAGGGACCCAGGGGAAGTCCCATACTGGCCTGCCTTTGAAAAATGGTGGCTCTCGCGTTGTCGGCTAGTTGGGCCGCACCGCGAGCACACAGATGTTTTGTGGATCACGGCCAACCTACAAAACGGGCTTTGGGGGTCCCATATTACTGGGCAGGAGTATTTGTCCTCGAAGTCGCCAGATTCATGTACCCGCAACAGCACTTCGGGTTGGTGGACAATGATTGTGTCCCAGTCACGCTTTTCGAAGTTCCTGACCTACTGGCGCTTGCCACCAGCCAAATGCAGTGGACTGACGTAGTTGGCATGGCGCCTGATGATCCGAAGCGCAATGACAAAGTCGGTCTCCTGTTGGTCACAAAAGCGCACTTGGAGTACAATGCAGCTAGTCATTTCGATAGGAAGCCAAGGTCGGCCAAGTCCCACCACCAGTCATTCTAATGCTGAGGTGCTAGGGGACGAGCTGGCTGACTATCGCTCTCAACTCCTTGCCATGGCACGGCCCCCGGTAAATCCCACAGATTGCTCACAGGGAGGAACCATGTTCACCCCGCTTGTCGGAGTACCGATGGAAGCGGGTCGAACCGTAGGGAATCGGAGGGGCGAAAAGAGGGATCTGTGGAGTCCTTGTTGGGTTGTTCTGTTTACTTGCAATTAGGACTTAAACATGTCAGGACACAGAACGTATGATGTTGCAGCTGTGTGGCCTGAGCACAGTGATCAGAAACCGGGGTAGTCCGGTGTGCAACTGCGGGGGCCGCCCAGAATTTTCGATCTGCCATGGCCTCCGCGACTGAATCTGAGTCTGATGATGACTCTGGGCTGGTCTCGCGTTCAGATGAGGATCTGTGGGGGCTACTTCCCCGCAAATTTCGCCTGGATTATGGCAGGGACGCGGGTCAGGTCCCGGATGCAGGGCTACTTGCTTTCCTTTTTGCCCGCAAAGAAGACCTCCGCGATGTCATGAAGAAGTACTGTCCTGGAGACGGGCTGGTCACTGCAATTCAAGCCTTTATGATTCTGCAGTCTAGGGCTTTACCCCGTGCGCAACGACAAAACAAGCGGCGCGGGCTTGTGGACCCTGCGTGGCAGAAAGTGGCGTTGGCAAAGCGAATGTCTTCAGATTCATCTAGCGTTTCAGGCTCAGCAGGTTCTTTGGGCTCTTTGTCTTGGCTTCTCAAACACTCTGGCGCACGGAGACAGCGCCGCGCGTGGCCGACACGAGCTGCCAAAAAGTTGGCAGATTCCGAGCTGGGGCTTACTCGCGCAGCCATCGAAAAGGCAGAATTGGAGCGCTGGCGCGGGCAACTGGTAGAACTGTTGCTGGAGTCCAATGTTCCTATGACTCAGCAAGCTAAGATGGCTTCCAACCCATCCGCCGCTATCGCAGCTTCTCTGGGCAGCATGCGGGCTTCGACTATTCGTAAGCGTGTGCGCGAATGGAAGAAGTTGAGAGCGTTTTCCTTAGGCCTGAGTGGATCTCCTTGGCCTGCGCATGTGGGTGTAATCCTAGATTATTTACAAGACAGACTGGCGGAGCCGTGCGGACACACTGTGCCAAGTGCTATTCTGGAGGCATTGGCCTTCATGGAAAGGACAGGGGGCTACGGCGCCGGCGAACGCCTAGCTGACTTACAGCTCTTGAAGAACTACGTCAATCAGGCGACTCACGACCTTGAGATTGGGGCGGCCCCGACGAAGAAAGCTCCTCTGATACCGCTAATGTTGGTTGGAGCTTTGGAGTTGCTGGTCGTAGATGAGTCTGCGCCCTTGTTTGCTCGAGGATATGCGTTCAACAAGCTCCTGAAACTGTGGACAGCATGCAGAACCAATGATCTGAGCGGCCTGAACCCGTCCTCATTGAGCCTCACCAGGTTTGGCTTGCAAGGCCTTCTTGAGAGAACCAAAACCACGGGTCCCGGCAAGCGTGTGCGACATCTTCCTATATATGTGAGTGCTTCTGTGGGTTTCATGGCTTCTGACTGGCTGGAAACAGGCATGCGTGTGTGGTCACATGAGGCGATGTCTTTTGAACGAGATTATTTTTTGCCGATGCCTAATGCGGACTGGTCTGGAACTAGACGGGCCATGGCTGACTATGCGGATACTGTTGGTCTGAGCCAGCAATTGTTCCGCAACCTGCGTTTGCCCATGAAGCAGGGCTCCTCCTGGCATCTGTCAGATCAGCCACTGCTGCCACTACCAGAGGTCAGAACTTTCTGGAAGGAGCATTCAGAAAGGAATTGGCTTACTAGCCTTCTGGCATTGTGTGGGGTCAGCGCCGACTTACGCAATTACGTCGGTCGTTGGCACATAGCTTCCTCCGCAGATGAGTACCTTCGTACTGCGAAACGTGTGATACATGGAATGCAGGAACAACTCATGAATACAGTTTGTGGCGACGATGTGTGGGACCTGCGCAATGTAGGGCTGGATGAACTGCATGCTTATCTAACTGACAGGGAGGTCCCTACTGAGCAAGCAGACTTGTTATGCCAGCAGTTGCACCTTGTGCCAGCTTGGTGCGCGCGAGCTCCGGAGCCTGTCGTGGAAGTTCTGGCAGCTGCGGCGGAGCCTGTGCTGGACGAGGATAAGGATCTGGAAGCAGAGTCTGCGCCTTACTTTGTGACCGTTGTCGGCAAGAAGAAGCTTCGTCGTCTACATCGTTTTGGCGGCTGCGGAGTGAGCTCCATAGAAGTTCAAGAATCCGAGCCCGTGTGGCGTCTGCGTGGCACAGCTTATGATCTTGCTTGTCGGCATTGTTGGAAAGCAGGTGATGTGACTCTTTCCGAAGCCGAGGAAGCAGATGACTCGGGCAGTTCCAGTGAGTCGGACAACTCTCCGGCAGCTTGATCCGGCTCCAAGCAGCCGAGTAATGGGCGACTTCCTGAAGTCTCAGGGTTAGGGATTTTGTGTCACCCGTTTGTGCGAGACGGTCGCATGTGGTGTGTGAGGTGGTCGCATGTGAATGTTTACGTGTGCATCTAGGGCACATGAAGCCAGAGCCAGCTCAGGGCGGGAGTTGGCAGGCAGATGAGTGTCACGTGTCTTTGGGCGTGGCCTTGCATCTGTGTGTGTGTGCGTGTGCGCATTAGGCATATGAAGCTGATCTAGGTCGGAGAGATTTCGACTATGCCTGCGCGCCGCAGCCTTTTCCTGATTGCTCGCAAGTGTGCAAGCGTTGGATTGTTTGCCGTGAGTGACCAAGATCACGTAAAGCCATGGCAGTGGATCTTTCAAAAGCTGACTCGGAGTTGCGCTTCCAGATGGAAGAGGTGGGCGTGTCAGCAGCCGTCCAGAAGAAGATTTATGATGCCGGGGTTATCTCCCTGCGTATCTTCGGGGGCTTGGAAGAGTCCCGGGAGGAAATGCGGGCAGTGTTCAAGGCCGATTTTGGCTTTGACCCAATGGGCGACATTGAGATGCGCAAGGAGATCTCTAAGTTGCTGTGCGTGTGGGAGAGCTCGCGTATGCAGCTAAAATGCCAAGAGCAGAACCGGCAGGACGCCAAACTGGGCGTACAACAGCGCCTGGTTCAGAACACAGAATATTCAGCAATGAGGGCGGCAGTTGAGTGCGCACAGGGGCGATCATTGAAAGATCGCGAAGTGCCCAGCAAATCGCTGATAGCTCTCAAACTGGAACAAGTGGAAGATGGCGCACCGGTTGCTGAGGACTTGCGAGAAGTGACGTCCCTGGAAGATGCGCATGTAGAAGCATATGGAGCCGTGATCGACCCTGCCTCGCAGACGCTGCGGATCCGCCCCGGAAAGGCCACAACCACGCCTCCCGCGACGCCTGAAGAGCTTCGGCTGCATCACCGGAGACTGGGGCTAGCCTGGGATTTTGTGCGAACTCGTCATTCGACCAGAACTTGGCTACCACAGTCCTGCGTGGACACCTTCCGACTGCTCTCGGACCATGTGCTTGGCTCCCATGTGGTAGGTGTGAAGACGGCGGATGGCTGCACTGCTACTTGGTCTCAGGTACTCACCTATGAACTTGAGCTACGTAAAGCTGCCTACCGTTTTGTGCGCGATGGAAAGAGTTCCTGTTTGAATTCTGCCATTGAGAAAGCCATCGACTCCACCGACCTGTTGAACTTGCATTTCATTATCGCTATGACGCTCGGCAAGGAACAAAGCTGTCCAGGAGAAGAGGAGGTTGCTGCTCCGCCGCCGCCTGCTCCCCATCCGGCAGGCAGGGGCTCCAAAGGCAGTGGCAAAAGCAAGCAGATGCCTTCATGGGAGCGCCAATGGGGAAAAGCGGCCCGCACGCCAGAAGGCAAATTGATTTGCTTCAAGTTCAACAAGCCAAGTGGCTGCGCTGCCGGCAAGAATTGCCGATTTGAACATGTCTGCCAGCGGTGCTTTCACCGCCACCCCTTCTTTGAGTGCCGCTACAAGCGCGATGCAAAGCAGCTGGGCAAAAGTGTGGGACCGCGATGAGTGACTATCTGCTGATGGCAAGCCCGGCCAGGCGTCGCCTGCGGTGGGGGATGTTCCCCCGCGCCTGGCTGTCTCGGAAGATACTGCCAAGCGTCGCAGACAAGACTGTGAAGAAGCTGCTGGTTTGCGTGAAGTCTACAGTTCTACAGACGCTGAAGATTGGCGCTGGGAGCTTACTGGTGAAGGCGTGTGGGAACCGCGTAGCTTGGAAGTGGCTGAAGACAGTTCTGATGAGGACGAAGATGGCCACGTCAAGCCACAGCTGGGAGATGGAGTCTTGGGCAGGGGGCCCCCGCTGACCGCTAGAATGTTTGGGAAAAGGGTGCCATTTTGCGATGGTTTCGGCTTGTGCTCACCGGGAAGGTGGTGTCCGAGCAGGCGGAGATGCGCCGGGGACATGCCGTCGCTGGGATTTGCCGAAAGTCTTGGCAAGGAGCTCCTGAAGATCCTAGTGCGGCACGTGGACCTAGTAAGCTTAGCTGCAAAGCTGTCGCTGGGCAAGGTCTCAGACAACCCGTTCAGTTCGGAAGTGTTGGATGAAGGACGTGAGCTTCTTTTTAATGCGTTGGAATTTGCCGGGGCCAAGCTCCCGGTGAGGGAGCGGACGGAGGGGCAGCCCTTTTACCTGGCGGCGATGGAGGAGCTGCTCCGCCTTTCCGGCGATCCTGACAGCAGAGTTTTCTTTTCTTCCAGTGTGTCTTTCGCAAAGGGTGTGCGTCTGGGGCCTGGGGTGTGCTTACCGCGGGTGCCTTCGGTCTTTGAGAAAAAGGAGAAGTGGCGGAAATATGATAGTGGGTTCTGCGAGCCTGGAGCTGAGCGGGAAAACTATTTGTCTGCAAGGGAGCACGCGGGCGAAGTCCAACAGCAGTTCCAGGCGGAGGCAGCGCTGGGTGCAATGGTCGAGGTGACCACGGCAGAGGCCCGAGCGCAATTTGGAAAGCAGCTAGCTGTTGCTTCCTTGGGCGCGCTCGAAAAGAAGGATGGCACGTATCGAGTCGTGCACGACGGCGCCAATGGGATCACAGTGAATTCTGCTATTCGGGTGCGTGACCAAATACGCTCACCGGGTGCTGGCGAGCTTCGCGCTGCGCTCCAAGAGCTACCTGGGCAATGCTTTGGATTGACTGGAGATGTGGAGCATGCGCATAGGCTCGTGAAGATCGCAGCGGCCGACTGGGGGTTGCAAGCGTGCAAAACTGGTGTTGGTGGGAGTGACAAGCTCTGGTTGAATAAAGTGGGTACATTTGGAATTTCGAGTGCAGCATACCACTGGTCACGATTAATGTCGAGACTCGGCCGTGCAGCTTTCTACTTGCTTGGGAAAAGGGAGATCTTCATGCTTGTCTATGTAGATGACCTCTTGTGGCTGGCGCACAACGACAAAGATAGTGTGCAGATGGTGTGCCTGGTAATCTTTTTCTTCCCGAAAGCACCTGCGAAGGGTTTTTCCTTAAGCACTGCTGCCTATTTCATCTTCCTTAATCTCTTTCTCTTACTTCATCTTCCCCACTCTCTCTTCCTTACTCTCTTTCTCTTACTTCATCTTCCCCACTCTCTCTTCCTGACTCTCTTTATCCTACTTCACCTTCCTTACTTCATATTCTTTACTAACTTTCTCCTTCTTCACCCTCACAACATCATCATCTAATCATCACCTCATAGGTTATTAATCTCATATCATATCATATTATATCATATCAGGTTATAATATCATATCACATCACATCAATGTCATAACATATCATATCATATCATGTTTTAATATCATATCACATCACATCAATGTCAGATCATATCATCTCATATCATGTGATAAAATAATATCACATCACAACATAACATATGAAGTAGAAGTATCAGATCAACAATATCAAAGTACATCAGAAGTAGATATTGATAGGTAGGTATTGATAAGTGGGTATAGACAGGTAGGTGTAGGTAGGTAGGTGTAGATAGGTAGGTGAAGATAGGTAGGTGAAGATAGGTAGGTGTAGACATCTTCCTTAAGACACCTACCCAACTTCACCTACCCAACTTCTTCTTTATTCTTCTCTTTAGGTGGCGGGGCGGTGCGAGCAGGTCTTACGAAACGCAACCCTCTCGTGGAATCGTGGCCATCGATCGCGCGCGCGTGTGGTGAGACGCGAATCGCGTTTGCCCTCGAGCAACCCTCTGCGGAGATCGTGCGTGTCGAGTGCACGAACGTGTGGTGAAACGTACATTTTGTCTGAGCGCGGCTGGGCGCACCATTATAATTCTGGTCACAAGGATGTCGCCAATGTGCGGTCCGGACCGCATACTCATTGGGAAATGCGATTCCAAGGTCTGTGCCCGGTCTGTGCCCGGATCGTTCCCCCATTGTAATTCTGGTCGCAAGGATGTCGCGAATGTGCGCTGCGGACTTCATACTCGTTGGGAAATGCGATTCCATGGTCTGTGCCCGGAGCGTTCCCCCATTGTAATTCTGGCTCGAAGGTGTTCC